CCATCTCGACAGCCTAGTCCTATGGAGAAATTAGAAAGATTCCCGCAAAGGGAAGATGGCCGCAAACTAGGAAGGACCATACCGCGTCCATGGAGCTACGGGCACAGGGGCGTACTACCTCGAGCACCTAAATAGAGAACCACTACCTGGACCATGGAACACCACAAAACTGAAACAATATTACAGCTAAGTCCTTATTCTACTACAAGCATTGGCAGTCGACAAGTCCTCTCTAATCGACGACAGGATGAGCTCGACCATATAGGCATGTTAAGGTACATACATGACCTCCAAATATCAACACCGACGAGTTGTTGTTCGTTTGTCAAATAGAACCTTAGCCCAACAGAGACACCTCAATCGAGTTTCGATGTCGAAGTACCTGACAGGTAGAATACCCAGCTCGTGATGGACTGTTCACGCCATGAGCTTAAGATTCTGACCGCAATCTTGAGCTCGTCGGGTCCCTACTCTATTTTCCTCGACACATTTGACATGTGTCAACCATAACCAAGATCGAGCACAAATCTCCAACCTTAGCAATATGAACTTTCATACAATAAGCAAGTAAAAAACAACGATGAGAAATTATTTATAAATAAATAAGCATAAGAGCAAAATGAAGGCATTCATAAATGCCGACCGTGAAGGCTGATGCTGTTTAAATAATTACAAAATTAGGCACGACAGCCACGAATCCAAAATAAAATGAGAACGAGCACGCAGACCCTAAAAACTAATCAAATCTCATCCTCCTTGTCACTATTCTCGAGAGGATAGAAAATTTTCCCATCAATCACTTAGTTGAATGGCCCCGCACCTTCGACCATAAGCTCGAACCCCGGGTTCAAAATCTTCAGCTACTCCACGGCTGTGTTGAAACCATAACCGAGGGTGTCCATGACATCCTGGTCGAGCACTCAGATGCGCGCAATTAGCTCTGCTCGAGACACCATGGCTTTCTCTGTGTCAGTCTCTTCTTCAGTCGGGGCCACGATCCCCTCCAATTCTTTTGTTCAGGTAACCAGACGCCTGTTCTCTTTGGTCACGGCCTCCAGTTGGGGCCGCAGCTCATTCAGATCTTTGAGAAGTCGAACCTGGGCTTCAAACTTTAACTCATGGTTGAGGATGTCGCACTTTAATTTCTCATTCTTGGCCTTCAGCTTTTAAATCTTAGCATATGTTGTATCGAGGGAGGCCTGAGAGCTCGCATCCTCATCATTCAGCGTCAAGGCTGTCTCGAGCATCCTCATCACGGTGACCACATCCTCTGCCAAATTCTTTCGACGTACATCCTTATCCTCGGACAATATCTCTGCCCTCTCCTCCTCGTGAACACCCAAAGAGTTCTCTCCGCTAAAGAGATCACAATTCAGATAGCAAGGAGGCAGCATGAAAACCCCCCGGGGACCTTGTCACCTTCGGGCACGACGTCCTCCACACGTTTCCTCTTTGTTGTAGGCTCGCTGAGGGGAACCTGGGTTTTTGATGAAGAGGGGGGACCGCTAGCACGAGTAGCAGATTTGGCCTGCTCTTGGAGCTAGGCGACCATGTTATTTGGCCCTGAGGTAGACGCGTTCTTGGGTCTCAACTTCAATAAGCGCTCGGAGAGGGACGTCATCCGACCTACAATAAAAAAGAAACCGTCAGTTACGGGTTAAATAAGGATAATAATGCGGGAACGTCCACGCATGAAAGACACAAAAAAAATCATCGCAACCGCGTCCCCTACCTAAAATCCTCATGGCTTCCTCATTTGAGGAACATTCGAGCAGGGCCTTCGTGTTGATAAACCTATTAACTAAGAGTTACTCCCATTGTTGTCAAAGAGGAGGTTGTTGTTCACGTCCACACACCTCGCGAGGGAGAAGCTCCTAACATAGGCCTCCAACTTCTCATAGGAGAGCTGGTCCTGAGTGTCCAAGTCCCCAGGCATTACAACATAATACCAAGGCCTTTGCTCGAAGTGTTTCCATTGCCACTCGAGCGGAAATCTGGCCACGAGCCAGGTAACTGGTCGCCCATCCTCCACTTCCTCCACGCGGGTGTATAGGGAGTCTATGGCCACGTACGTCAAAGGTTTCACAACAAAGTACCTCTCTTTGAAGCGTCCGACAAATTCCAGATAAGGCCTAAAAAGCTTCCCAAACTGTTTGAAGGACACCCACGCTTGCCCTCCTCCAATGGATTGCCTTTGAAGGTGAAAGATATGGAAGAAGAGGGAAAGTGTATCGCCTATCTGCAAATACTGGCAGACGAGCTCAAATGCCCCATGAACACCAGCGCGTTTGGGTGAAGTTCAGAGGGCGCCAATTGAAGCCACTGAAAAACCCTCACTTGAAAATCATTGAAGGGAAAACACACCCCCGCCTCTTTAAACGCGAACTCGTACATAGGAAAATGTTTGCTCAGATATGTTGAGCAGATCCTCCAATTTCGATGGGGAATTTGAAGAATCCAGTTGGCGGGGGCCTCTTAGGCGCGAACCTCTGGATAATTAAACGCGTCTGTTGTATCGTTCGAAAATCATGACCTTTTATTTTGAGGCTCAGGTGCGACCCAGGCCAAGGGGTCCTCCTCGACATTGGTTTCGTCTTTGTAGTTGGTGGGCAGGACATCATCCCTGACCGAGTGTGCCATTATACTTGAAAAGCAAGGGAAAAATAGTGAATTCGACATTATCAAACTCACCCTTCCGCCGCAGCTCAAGTGAAAGGGCGATGAAGCAGTCGAGGAGCGAACCTTGACCCAAGCCCCTGACTACACACAAAAACAGACCACACTTTCATTGGGGATATCCAGTCAAACGGGCAAAAAGCCCGAGTCAACCCTAACTATTCGGGGAAATCGTCCCCGATATCATGACCACTACTCGGGGAGATTCTCCCCGACATCATAAACTCATGAGCTTCAATGAACATTCATGAGTGTTCATCGCAGAACTCATGAATGTTCATCCAAGATTCATCCAGTCAAGGCAAAAAACTAGGTATTTAATCTAGAAATACTAAGGAAATACATTGTTAAGGAGATATGACTTACTTGGATGAAGGATTCTTGAAAGAAATCGAGAAAAGTTAAGAGGAGAGGATTCACGCGCGAGCAAGGGAAGTTGAAGGAGAAAACATGAGAAATGACAAATGAAAACCAGGGGTCCCCTTTTTATAGGTAGCTCACATCCCACGAGGTTCATCATGAAAAATCATCATTAGATTGAGCCTTTTGGAGTCCCCAAGAAGGGATGACACCCCAAAGCAACAACCACGTGGCCCAATAATCAGCCACATATCCATTCTCGAGAGACGAATAAGTCCCTGACTTCAACACAACTCCCTGCGCGAGCACGAGGCAGATGCCTCACACGAAGAAATGCTTGACACCATGGCTGAGACATGTATACGAGCATGTTCGTCGCGATTTGCCTCGAGGGCGAAAATAACACTCGACAGCGTGATAACCCCTTGAAGACGGGCATATAGAAAATGAGTTTGTAGAAGCTCCCTGTAGCTTATACACTCATGTCGGACACTGGACAAAGAACCGACCTAGTCGGTCTCACAGCTCATTTGTCCACGAGATCCCCGACACAATCAAACAGGTTGTCCCCGACACGGGCAACATCTCGTTTCCTTTCAGAGGACTTCGACCTCCCTTCTCGAACGAATCCTCCCCGACCATGGAAGTTGAACTTAAGTCATCACCCTTTCACCTAAGGGCGATAACTTGGGGGACTCCTGATCTGGACTGAGCTTGCACTTGCCCAGCAGTTGGGAAGCCCAATCCAACATCCTTGTATAAGGACCAAAGGCAAGCAACCCAGCATTCATTGAGGAACGTGGCCCACGTGTCCACATCATTGTCATCTTAACTGCCCTTCGGAAATCACGGGTCCAACACCTATTCTCACGGAGTAGTTGACTAGGGGGAGTCCACTTGCTGGACTCCATACACACGTAATCCCTAACAGTCTTCATTATTGAGTCTCATCGTGGCCCAACAACGGAGACCTTGGTCCAGCGTTGGGGGCTAGAAATACCCTCTCATTTGAGAGGGTCAGATATTTCATTCTTATACTCATACTCACACTTGCTTGCACTCTTCCTGAACTTACTTTGGCATCAGAGTGTCTTATAGGTACCCCTATCTCGCTTTCAATCTCAGCTCGACGTGAGACCTTGACGATCACTCTGGCCAGGTAAGATCAAAAGGTTATGAAATAAACCACAACAATAACAACAAAAAGTTTCAATACATAATTAACATATTTCACACGTCAAACATACATAAAAACTATTTTGTAACAAGAATATAAAGAATTTCATTGAAGAAGAAAAAAAAAAAATGAAAACTAACTAATAAAACTTGAACACGAAGAAGTCAACCATAATATATTAGAACAGTGGTAGAGAGCAACAATAATGGCATGCTCCGAAAACAACAGTTTAGAGTGATTAAATTTTTGTGACTTATAGTTTCTATTTTCTATATTTTAAATTTGGCTCTAGATGTGTGTTTTAGTGAAAGTAAGAAAACATAAACAAATATGGATAATGATTGAATCGATATAAAAGTTAGACTTAATAATTTGTGAAATAAAATATTTAAAGCCTAATTATAGTGATTGATTTGATTCGTGAGTTTAACTGTCTCTAAAATTAAAATCGATAGCCAAATCAAACCACTTTAATTTTTATTGATTTGGTTTGATTTTAAAACTGAAACTGAAAAAATCAGTTTTTTTCGATTTAATTTGACCTAAATTATGGGTTTAATTGGTGGATCAAGCAAATAAGCAAGAAAAGAAAAAAAAAGAAAGAAAAAAAGCATTGTCCTTGAACACAGAACTAGTAAGAATTGTTCCTTCCTCCGTCACATGCCATATCATACAACACACCCTCAATCTCACGCTTCCATGTACGTTCTCCACCCCGTCTTCCTCACTCAACCAACCATGAGATTCAGATACTCGTGTTAGCGTTTTCCCTTTTCATCCTTCAACAATGGCATTGCTAGCAGCTCAACGCACCTTGCTCACCCTCTTCACCGCTATCGTACTTTCACCGTCTCTCACCTTAGCAACATCCACAGCTTGCCAATTCACTTTTCGCGACGGAGACAAGCTTTACAATTATACCCTCTCCTCTCCCATTCGCAACTTCCCTCACGGCATCCTCAGCGAAGACGGGTCCACCTCTCTTCCTGATCTACCATTATTTTTTCAATTTCATTGTTCTTTTCGTTTATTTTATTTGTAATTTGGTTTCGTCATTGTTCGTTGATTCTAGTATACAAACATTTCTAGGATTGTTTAATTCATGTTATAACGGTGCTATAGATTTTGAATTTACTGTATCGACTCTAATTGCTCCCCTAATTCACGAATTGAAAAAGGAATTTACCGTAAAAATTGTGCCAATTATGTGTTTTCTCAGAAAATTTCATCTCTTTGTGTTTGTAGGTTTTACAAAGTGTCAGTGAATCAGACCACCATTTGGTTTCAGGTTGGCTCCATCAGGTCACGCTTATTTCTTTGATTTCTGATTACTAACACTTCCGTTGATCAGTAATAATCATTTTTTAGCTGCTATCTTTCAAAACATATAGTATTTTTTTTCCTTCGCTTTTGGGCTCTTTATAAGAAGAAACTGCTTATAGTTTATGAGAGAAGCTAAGTTAAAAATAAGTCCTATTCTATACAAAATCACCTCTAATCCCAATAGAAATTGAGTCAAAAATTACATTGGAATTGGCACTGAGACCTATATTTGCAAAAATGTCTGCACACGAGTTTCCTTCCCTGTATATATGCGTAATGAGTAAGTTAAAGATGTTAGAGGGGTGAGTGCCTGAAATCCACCTGTTTCTTAAACCCCGGGGAACTAAACTACGGTTGGAGAAAGCTTTGATAACCATGATGCAGTCAGTTTCGACCCAAACTTGCTCCAACCACTGTCTTTAGCCAAATCAATAGCCGACAGAACCGCTGAAAATTCTGCAAACACGGAAGAGCCAGTGGATAAGTTTTCTCCGAAGCTAACAGAAAATCGCCACGATTGTTCCTAAAAGTGCCGCCACAACCACGCACATTGGTATCAGGGTTATACGTGCATTGGTATCTTCATTTACAAAAAAGTTGATATAAAGTTTTAAGTGTTTGCAGAGAAGTTAGATGGGAAAGCATTAAAAAAAATTAGATGTAGAAGCTAGTTTTAACTCATGAGAAGCTATTGTTGAAAAGACTTGAAGTTATTGTTAGAGTTGTTTCATATTTCTCTTTCCAAAGTCTTTATGGAAAGCTTATCTCATATTAGCTCTATATTAGTTTTTTTATTATTTTAAAATGTGTAAGTTGAAGCTCTTTGGTATGACTGGCCATAAATAGATGGACTTTCAAAGCGCATAGTTTTCTTTATAGGGAATGATAGCTTTAATGTAGTTTTACGCCAAATTGATCTATAATTGAATTTTATGTATTTGTTGTTTGAGCAGCTTTGCGATGGAATGATTTTCAATCACGATCCTCCAATATGTGCTGACTGCTGGGTAAACGAGTCTCTTTTCTGCTAAGCTATTTTCTTTTTGTTGATCAAGTATCCTATATTTTCATGTTGGATTATCAAATTGCGGCGCCATGGCCGCTATGGCGGATATACATGGCAGTTTTTGGGCTCGCCGCAATGGTAAATATCGACCAATATTGCGGATTTTTCCGCCATAATTGGCTATAACAGCGCCTAAAAGCAGCCGGTATGGCAGGATTTTCGCTCTCCGCCATGGACCGCCATCCGCCATGGACAACACTGTTTTCATGATGTTATAAAAGGAACAGTTGATGAGCTTACAGGAATTTAAGATAGATACATGCTACATGTAACAAACTAAAAACCATTTCAGAGACCTTATTGGTGATAAACCCAATTATATGTATAAAGCTTAATAAATTCACACCCCTTCTCACACAGTTATCCACTTGGATCAGAAACCCATTGAACACCAATTAAGGTGTAAACTTCAGTGTATTTATATATATGGAAAAAAACTATTAGATTAACTATGAATCAAGCTTGATATGTCATCATAGCGACATAATGTAATAATTCATTGTAGATGGCCGAAAAATTAAGCTCATTGGAAATTGAAATTCTATTTGGTTTAGTTTACTATTAAATTAACAATTAATTGGTCTAGGCTGGTGGTTCCTGTTTATATAAGTAAATATACTGGTACATATATCAGTGATAATTAGCAGCGGGGATGATATTTATTGGATAGGATTTTAAAGCTGTTTAAAGGTCTTGCCGCAATATTTTTATCCCATAAGTTTACAAAACTTTCTACATGTCTCCTCTCTGTATGTATGCTTTAGGACTGTGGAGGGCCAACACGTTGTGGGATGGAGTGCAGTGCACTTGTGTCAAATTACATTGGAGGTATAATTCCCAACACTTGTGTTTTCTCCCATTTACTTGCACATGCAAAACTGTGTCTAATGTATGCTGATTTTTGCTTGTGGTAGCTATGTCAAATGCAAACAGTTTGGTTGATTAGTTGTTGTAACTTACAATTGTAGCCAGTTACATACTATGAATGGAATAAGATGATTTAGTGGCTGTGAATCATGGGCATACAATTTTGGATGTTCTGAGAATTGCTTCGTTCATAAGCATTCTTTTTAGATCGCCGTTAAAGAAAAGTGCAATTCAGATTATTTTTGCTTAGGGGGCGTTTGTTTCGTGGATTGGAAATTTATTCCCAGGAATGTTGGTTGGAATACTTTTTATTCCAATGTTCGTTTCAAGTTATACCAAATTATACCTAGGAACTTTTTATTCCCAGGAATTCATTTTACACATAATTTTGTCACTTTTTATTCCCATGTTATAGGGTGGGAATCTTACATTCCCATAGGAATAAGAAATAACCACCCATAACTTCTCACTACTATATATTTTAATTCATTTATTTTATATTTTATATTTTAAATTAAGTATATTTTATAAATATTCCAAGGAAATTAATTGTTTTCACCAAACACATAGATGGGAATAAAATTCCCAAGAATAATGTTCCCGGGAATAGTATTCCCAAAATTTATACTTTTAATCTATGAAACAAACACACCTTTATAGTTTCTGTTGCTAGTAGAACCTCCAAGTGACTGATTCTCTTTCACAGTAAAAATTAGATTCTAATGCTGCATCTATAAAAAAAGGTTTGAAGTCATTTTTATATACTTCAAAGGCATTTTATTTATGCAAAAGAACGATTTAACTGATTTTTGTAGCTCCTTTATCTTATAGAAAATAGTTATCTGACATTTTCCTTGATGCAAGTTTTTTTCATTTTAATGTTGTCTTTCCAACCCCTCCATCTGTGTTTCCTTTTTTTACACTGATTTTGTCATATGAAGAACCTGCAGTCTAGTATTCTTATTGAAACACATGAAGAAGTATTTTTAAACTTCATAGACAAAGAAAAGAGGTTTTTTTTTAATTATTATCACTGTTTCAGCTTGCGCATAATGGAATTATTGGAGGAGCATTATATATTAAAAACAATGTTTTCTAAAAGATTCTGTTTTAAGTTCGAAAGACCAAGTCTCGTTCATCATCAATTGGGCAGAGCTGTAGTTTAAAGAAATATGAATTTGGAACATGTTAACTTACTAATAAATAAACAATACTCAACTGAAGTCAATTTTTGTGAATTTCTCATGTGAAGTTAATGAGGGAATGGTCATCTAACAGAGTGATAACTGCAGGTTATCATGTATGCTCAGCCATAGGACGTGGCCCGAAAATTGACATTGATGTTATAGGTAAGACCAATTCAATTGTCTGTTAATGATTTTTGATTTGTTTCAATCATTATTTTCTCATATTAATTTTCAGTGCTCCATTCTGGCTCAAACTTGTGTTGCTTGTATGTCGAGTTATGCATTATTTGGTTCAACTGATTTTTAATAATGCTTCTAATATTAAACTAGATAGAGTATCTGTATGTTTGTAATGCTATTCTGATGGCAGATAAGAAAAATCCCCATACTGGTATTATTGTGAAAATGTCAAGCGGCGGCCTTAAGTACAACTGTTCTCTGTCTGTGTCTGTGCTTTGCAATCTAAATGGAGTACAGGTAAGATTTTCATTCTTTCCGTTCCTCCCATGTTTTTAATTGATTAAACGGGATATTATAGAACCAATACTGGTTGAATTGTTTCATATTTTCATTACCAAACTTCTGCTTACAGGGACCTCAAACCCTGGAGAGATCAGGGGATTGTAATTATGTGAGTACCTTTTATCAAGATTTTTTTAGTTATTTCCTTTTGCATATTGTTTGTTATTTTGTGTAGATTCCAGATGTCTTGCTTTAGTTATTTTATCCTCAATTCTTATGCAGTAAGTTTCTTAATTTGTGAACTTAAAAAATTGTTAATCAGTGACATTTGCTGAAATATAGGAAATGTTGAACTTGAATTATTGAATTACAAAAAAAATATTGAATTTATCAGCTATTTCCACTCATTTAGATTACTTGTGAAAGCTTCATAGTATGATCAACATGACATTGGTATCCATATTCCATTAGTATATGCTCTGGTCTTGGCTTCCTTTTATTTTCTATTGTCAGTTTAGTATCCTGTTAGCATCCTATTATACTTTCTCTTTTCTGCAAAAGTAATTTAGCATTTTGAACTTAAAAGAATAATGAAGAAAATTTTCCCACACCAACTTCTCTTTTCTCAATGATGCAAAGACATTTGTCTGGATTCTTGTTTATTAATATCCGTATTCAACTATTCATATTGATTGATGTTTTCATTGTTAAATAAAAAATTCTGAGCTATTAATTAATAGACAAAAGTGCACTTTTAAAGCTTTAGATGTTGCATATGGTTGGCAAGAAGATTGTCTGTTTTTACAGAATTGCTGTACAGAGCTATGCTAATTGACTAGACAGAACATACTACTTGCTAATTTGTTGAACTAAAAATTGTGAATCAAGCTCTCGACTCTAATATATTAAACAAAGAGTCTTAACAATGAGTCTTTTCTTATGTCTTCAAACCTTTTTTCTCAAAATGAAGAAAATTAGACACAGGTTGTATCATTCTCTGCATAAATACACATTCCACTTTAGTTCAAATGAAAAAGACTAGACCGAAGTTATATCATTTATTCCCCCATCTATATACATTTTTATGTAAACTCATAATAAGAATGTCGACTATTAAAAAAATGAAAACAGAAGGGAAATATGAAGTTGATGTGAATTTACAATCAAACACAGTTAATTGTTACTTTTTTTGTAACCCTGTTTCTTATGCAGGCTACAGAGCTAAAGCATCCATCTGGTTGTGCTTTGATTGTAAATGTCCACGGGAGTGGGTGGGGGTGGTTTGGCACTTTACTTATTATGTAAGCATTTCTGTGTCTTGCCCGACACTTTGGATTATGTAAGGGATTCTAATTTGGCTAAATTACTAATCTTTGTTTCATCTTATCTCATTCCAGTCTTCTGTGCCTTTTTGCTGTGTACCTACTGGCTGGTATAGTTTATCGATATTTCATCCTCAAGATTCGCGGTATAGAAGTATGTTCTCACCTTTCCTTCTTGTGTTCATGTTTTTTTTTTCTCCTTCTGGTAGGGGTATATATGCCTGTTTTATTTGTGTCAACAAAAAAAAGTGACTTGTATCAACAAAACATGATATTTAAACACAAGAAATGTAGAAAAAAATAAAAATTTGTATTACAAAAGTCCTAACTATACACAAATATATACTAGTGTCTAATATTTTTATAAAGGCAAAAAAGAAACTCAAAGACTATTTGATCCAAGATAAACCGCATAACAGATCCATCGTCAACTTTGACATGAAAAAGCTGAGAAGAAATTCAAAGAATATTTATATCAAAAGTGGTATCTGGCACTATATCTCAATGAGTAAAACTAGCCAAGTTATAGCTAAAAAAATCAAACATATTATAATGGTCTCAAGAAATAAAAGCCAAAAGATACTTCTTTTCACTCAATGGAAAAGCTTTGAGAATTGCTTTTTTGTTCAGATTTTCAGTCAAGCAATTGATTGCTTTATAGCATAAAGTGTCATCAATATCAGTAATCATCTCCATTTCATTCGGCACTTCTTGCATAATTCTTTGAGCATTTCCTTCCATCTTTTTTTACTTAACTAGTACAAAGTCTTTCAATGAAATCCTTTTCAGCTAGTCATTTGTGGTCTTTTTCCATTGTCCTAAAGATAGATTGAATCAACCTTGCATAAATATCCTGTCCATAGTTCCTAGAGAACTCATTTGTTTGTCATATATGACAACATAACTGTCACTGCTAAATATTTCTGCATTTCATGCTGGAACTCTTATTAGTCTCTTCTTTTGAAGAACCGACTCTTGATATGAAATGTTCAAAACTTAGGAGTATACTTCTTTGATATGCATCTAGGAGTATCATACATGTATTGGTATTGGATAATTAATACTTTGCAATTTTGGTTGGAAAATTGATTCTCGATTACACTCATTCATTTTGTTAATTAATACTCCCTCTGTTTCAAAATGAGTGGCGTTTAAGGTTTTTGCACATGGATTAAGAAATCTAATAATGTTGTCATAAGATATTGCACTTCTATTAAATTAGCTTTATTAATGTATTGGAAGTAGTGTACAAACTAATAATTAAAAGACATAATTGGAAAAATAGCAATCATTACTGCATTGAAAAGTGAGAATGACATTCATTTTGAAACAAATTTTTTTCTTTAAAACGACACTCATTTTGAAACGGAGGGAGTATTGTTTATCATGTTACATACTGTTATCCCATGCCAATCCTTCAGTCATTTTGTTAATTAATATTGTTTATCATGTTACATACTGTTATATCCCATGCCAATCCTTCAGTCACTTTTTGAGTGCGCTAAAGCAATCTTTTGTAGGATATTTGGTCAATTAGGACTGAGATGTTTTTTCATTGACCCTATTTTCCAGGTCATCCCTAACTTGGACTTGTGGATCAGCTTGCCTAGGAGAATACAGGTATTCTTCCCCTTGAATGCTTCAAGTTCAGTGTTTCAAATCTAGCATCAAAGGAAAAAAGTTTTTAAGGTGGGGAGTTGAATACTTTGTATAACCTTTGTTATCTGCCGTGTCTTTGCAGAGCATGTGCTCATCTTTGGTTAGAAAGTTTAAGGGGCCGTCGGAAGGTCACCGGAGCTCCTATTCTCCTGTGAACTTCTGAGATTACATTTTTTATTCTGGATGTGCGCGGTGAGTTACTAACAGATTATCTCGGACAAGAGACAGGCATGCTGCAGAAAACTAAAACTCAGATGCTCTACTGGTCATCTCTGTTGCTTCTTTGATACAGAACTTTCTGCAGAAATTTGTGATTCTCGTCGATTCTCCTTCCATGAATATAGTATTTCACATTCTTTATTTATCTCTGAAAGAAAATGAGGAGGACGAGGGAGAGAAAGAAAAATATAAAACAAGAAAGTGTAGTATGATTCTCATGGGAAAAATTGCATTATACTGGAGTTAATTCAATAATTTTGGTTGACATTTGTTGGCTGGTAATCAGGTAGTTAAGTTAAAGGAACTTATTTTCTTGTAACTTGCTTGTTAACCTTAACCATTAATTCATTATTGTTTTCCACTTTCAAGTTTCATTCACCTTTTCCCCCTTGCTAAATCATATTTTCATTTCTAGTTAACTCACATATATGTTAGTTTTCTATTAGGTGGGGTAAAACCGAATCAAATATATGTATAATGTATGATTCTACATCGTGGCAGCAAAAAAAATGCTTTTGGCGAACGGGGATGTACCTTTCTTTGCCTTTAGAAAAACAAGACCATCAATGGTTTTGGCAGGACCACAAAGACATGCCCCCTATTCATATCCTATAAAACAAGGCAATTTCTTTTCCCTGCTCTTTATGGCATACTTTGAAAATTTAAAATTGTCTTCATAATTTGGAAATGCATCTCCAAATGTATTATGAATCATTTTTTTTCAAAAATTTAATTTTGAGATGCATCTTCAAATATTTTTGAGGTGAATTCGGAGATACATTTCAGAGAATTTTATTTCAGATATACATCTCCAAAAACTTTAATGTATATACTGTGGGCAGAAACTTTAATCCGAAGTCATTTTAGTTCGACTAACAATGTCATAATTCATAATTTGATTCAAACATTAACATTTCAAAATAAGTCAATGCATTAATTAAAAAAATATCTCAAAATATTACATGGTTCTCAAAGTATGGGAAATACTAGTAAAACATCCGAAAATACAAAAAAAGCACAACCTATAGCGTATGTGTAATACGGTGGGAGAACTAACTTTTGAGTTTTGTTTTTTATCGCAAATGTTGTAGATAGCAAGAGCTGCCACCGACTTTTCTTTTATTCAATAAAAGAAAAGGTGAAAAGAACATGAAAGACCTTTGAGAATTTTCTGAGTAAGGGGGGTAAATTATGAAAAGGGAATGTGTTAGCACTCTTTTCATCCGTAGTTATCTACGGGCTCTTAATCGCTAGCTCATTTTTTGAAATGCTTTGGCCTTGTGTATGTTTGAAAATACTTTGAAAATGTCTAAGTGCGACAATTTTGTAATGATTCTCGTATCGTTGAGAATGTATACAAAATGTTTGTTTTAAAAATATTTATGAAAGAGAGTGTTGTTTTGTGAAAAGTGTTTTGAAGATGTCAATGTAAGACAGTCTGCTTTATAATAACTCTTGTATCAGTCCTTAAGAGTGTTTATAAAGCGTTTTGAAAGTAGTTGTTTTGAAAGTGTGAGGTGTGAAAATGGTTTTAGTTTGTGAGCAAACGATTACGAGCATTCTACCTACTCAAAGAAGTCTTTGTTCTTTTCTTCTTCCTTTAGATAGTGTTATCCTTCCATTAGTTAGTAGAAGCCCTATCATTGGATGTGAGGGACATACGCGAGTCATTGTTCAGTTATAGAAGGTACATTGTAAAATGCTTTAGCAATTTTCGTAAGGGACTAAGATCGTTTACCGAAGGCAGCATCGAAGGGTCATCGAGGGATTACGATCTTTTAACCGAGGGTCTTTGCTAAAGCGCCCCACGTTCGAGGAACATGACTGTTTAAATCCGAGACAACAAGTGAGGGTTACCCTAGAGGTGTGTTTGTGTGAAGTGTTTTGATTCCAAGTATCTTGAGATTAGGGTTTTGCTATCAGTTGATTTTAATCTTGCCATATAAACCCTAATTACTAACAGTAATAAGGAAAGCAGTAAATTGCGGAAATTAAATGTTCTACGCTATTACAACGCTTTAGAGATGGAGAGTACAAACTTATGAATGAGGATGAAAAGCAGTAAACCCTAATTAGAGCTATTACAGACTATTGAGCAGTTACAATAATAAAAAAATGTGAAATAATAAAATACGCGAAAAATGTAAAATAAAGCAAAGAGAAAGGAAATTGTTTTTTTTGTAATTTTTTGATAGAAAAAGGTTTGATGATTAACTTAATTATTTAATTTTCATTTAAAAAAAAGTTTAGTAAAAACCTAAAGAAGCTTAAAAAAATAAATGAAAAAAAAGTCAATTAATTTAATTAATTAAAAAGAAAGTTAATTTAGTTAACTTAATTAAAAAAACCTAAGTTTAAATTAATTTTAATTTTAAAAAGGAAATTAATTGTTAGAAAATAATTTTGATGTTTTATTTAGAAAATATATGAAGTATAAAACCTAATTCTAATTATTTTAAATAATTGATAAAAATTATAATGTGATTTAAATTAAATTAATTTTATTTATAAAAAATTAAATTAATTAAATCAAAACTTAAATATATATATATATATTTTTTTTTATGATTTTATGATTTTTTGTTATTTTTTTTCTTCTGATTTAATGATAAATGATTAAAAAGAAATAATTAAATTAAAACAAAAAAAAAGTTCAATAGACCTGCGCTGTAAAAGAAATTGAGGGGGTGTTAGAAAGCAAAATTCCCAGGCCCATTAACAAAGGCGCCCATGCGCCTGTGAGATCCAGTGAGGACAGTTCTTTGGGATGCACCATGGGCGTGACTTTCTGAAGCGCTAGATCTGGAGTTATGAGATCTGATGGTTGTTATATAGAGGTGCACCTTGCACGCACTAGGCTTGTCTGTGCTGAATCTGCAAGGAACAAATATGTGAAAAATAAAAGGGTATCACTGGGGCTCGAACCCAGGTCCCTCAGATCATAGCACACTTGTTTTATCACTGGGGTGACTGTTACATTCGGTGATAAATCATGTTGCATTAAATATAAAATAAACTCATTTTTGAAAATTTGAAGATGAACTTCATCTTCTTCGCGCGAACAACACCATCACCAACATTTTTGAATTTTATAAAACCTTCATTTCTCAACCATTTCAAAAACTGTAAACACCAAACTTGTTCTAAATTCCACAAGGAATTCAACCATACTATTTATTTTAACTGAAACTCATAGAATAAAAAGAATTATACTTAGTACCAAAAGTGAACCCTAACTGGTCATAGCTTCAATTCTCACTCCACAAGAAAAATTAATGAAAACTAATTACATGGTTAGCTTCAGGGCATTGATATCTACATTTTTGCTTTAGAATGTATGTACTAAAGATGCCTGTGTCAAGATACCACAGTTTAGAAAACTTATCTTTTGAAGTGAAAATCCAATTCCCTCTACACGACTTCCAGAAGCAGTGTGATGATGGATTAAGCTTGCTGGGACCTTACATGAGCTAATGGGATAACTACTTTGCTTTGAAAGTTGCTGAATCAATCCAACCAAGTCAATGTGCAAGCTTCGAATATGGAGTTTAGAGGATGATGAAGATGGTGTTACATAAGTGTAATAGGTGTTTGGATGTGTTATATGTGATGTATGAATTATGTTTGAATGCTAAAAAGGGAAAACGCATGAGTGGATTGAGAGTTGGGTGTTGGAAGCTTCAAATGTGCAACACCGACGGTTTCTTAGTGATTCTGAGTTTGAGATTGTGTGAGAGGTTTAGATGGCTTGTACATTCGTGTTTTGGCTTGCAAATGGCCCCTCTATTTATAGGCAAGAGGTTTGAGGGGTTGAAACAACCATATTTATAAGATATCAAGTTATGGTTTGGTTGGATTGCAAGTGAAGATACATGAGAGTTATGGTTCCAATGTGAGCATGGCCTGATTTTAGAGGTGCTTTGTAGGTTGTAGATGGTTTCTTCTTGGTGCTGATATGTTTTGAAGTCAGAAGCAGCAATGTATGGGCTCAAGGAGTAGACTTTTGTGATTAAAGCAACTTTATCAAAATGGCAATGTTAACTTTGTGCCAAAAATGGAATGATGCATTGGACAAAGCTTCTAATCCTTGGATCATGGCTCAAAAGTGTGCGCAATCTTCTGATTATGGATAAATTTAGGAGCTTAGAGGCCTGCAAAGTGACATTGTGCAGCATGATTATGAGATTTGGCCATAAGGTTTTCACAAGAATGACCTAAAATTCAAGTTTGTCATGCCATCTTCATCTCTTCGAAACTTCTATCTCAAGTATAATAATTTTGTGTTCTTGGACATTTTAGAAAGCTTGAATCAAGATCTACAACTTTCATGTTGTGAGTTTTTGCTGAATTAATTTGGATCTTAGTGAAAAATGGCCATAAAGTAGTGACTTTGTTAAGAACAAAACACAAAAAAATTTCTAAGTGTTGGGTAAAAATAATCAGAACTTCATGGGCCCATATCTCTTGATCCAAACACTTCTTGAGGATCATCCCACAATAATAAATTTGTAGAATTCATTAATCCCTATAAATTTTATGTTGAAAGTTTTCCTTGAATCAACTTGTATCTTGAAGAAAACTTGCTTGTGAAGTTAGGATTTTCTAAGTACAAAATACTTGAACTTTTTCTAAGTACTTGAAAATATTCCAACTTTGACTTTTGTTGAATTTATTGATTCTTGATGATAAAGTTTGATAGTTTTGAATATCTTGATGATTCTTGATTTTTGAATTATAATGTTGACCAAAAAGTCAAAGTTTCACTTTTGTGTGACTGTTGACTTTTCATCAATTGATTCAATTCTTCAACTATCAATTACTTGTATCTTTGGAAATGTATTTAGCCATGTAATTAGGTCAATATGTTTTATTTTAGCTCTAAGCCATTAGGTCATGCACTATGCCATCGGTCAATGATCAGTCATCTTCAATCAAAATCCTAAT